ACACTCAAAGGGTGCATCTTCCCAAGAGTTTGAGGAAGTGGGGTACTGTTTCCTCCAAAATTTTAGGTGGACTTGACTCTGAGTTCTTTGTCTACCAAATGGGCAGATGATATTCTGTTTTTGTGGATCTTTGTTTTAAGGCTTTGTTGTTTGATTCTATTTTAAAATAGAATGGTAATAATAATCCCAAATATGTGTATTTTACTTTCAACACTTACAAAAGCACTTTCACATTCATGATCTCATTTCATCTCTGGATAGCCTGGGAAGGGAACTGCTGACAATTATTCGTATTTATCCATAGGAGGGGACTGTGATTCAGAGGGTCATATGCTTGTCTAGGGAGCTCTAGTAGCATAGTACCTAAGGCACTTGACTGCTAACCAGAAGGCCGACGGTTCAAACCCACCAGCCACTCCTCGGAAGGAAGATGGGGCAATCTACTTCCGTAGTGATACTGCCTCGGAAACCCAAGGAGGGGTCGCTATGAGTCGGGTCCAACTCAATGGCGCATAACAACAACAACAACAACATGCTTGTCTAAGGTCACCTGCTTAGAAACTATAATTATTCAGACTCAAGTCCCCTTACTCTCGTCCCTTGCTTGCTTACTTCCATTCTACCGTGTGTCCTTCCTTCTTTCTTTCTTTTATAAAGATTCTTCCTTCCAAGCATCTGAAATTCAGCTTGCTTTTCCTGTGAACATTAGAAATCCATCAGGTAATACTTTATATGCCTTAGGTTCCCACCACCAAGATCAGTATTAAAAAAACGACAGTGACTTATTATTTATAGCCATATCTATTGTTACTAAGGGAGACAGACCAAACAATTCCCCATTGTTACAGATGCTACTTTGACTTGACAGCTGGGAAAGTCTGATAGGCAGTTTATTTACTTAGTCATTTAACCAGATAAATGTTTTCATTTTTCTTTCATCTCCTCAAAAGCTAACATTTCGCCCTTAAAATTGCTCCAGCAACACACCAGTGAAGTATAAATTACCTGCCATTCCCACACCAGCCATTATAATATTATTTTGCTTCTTTTTTTGCCCCTATTATCCCCAGCCTTTCAAAGACAAGTGATTCTCCCAGACAGGAGAGTAGGAAAAAAAAAAGCAGAATAACTGAAAATATTTCTCTTTATTGTTAAAACAGAAATGCTATTTGAGATTGGTCCTGAAGCTCCCATCTGCGTGGATTTCGCCCATTTCCTCTTACTAGGGTTCGATACGGCTTTAACTTATCAACAGATGTCACCCTTACCTACTCAGAACCATGTGTGTATTTATAATAATAATAATAATAATAAGATAGAGATAATGCCTGCAAGTGCAATAAGAAGGAAGAGACTTGCTTTCCAATTGTACAAAGGCACAGGGGAAACTAGAGCCATGGCTGTAAGTGTCCCCATGGTATCTCTCATCCAAATGTCTAAAAAGGCACTAAGAAACTGTAGTCAGAGAATTCCCAGTTGGGCGGATGGGTGAATGGGGAGGAGACAGAAAGATCAAATAAGGCTTGTGCTGCTATTGACAGAAGGGTCTAGGAAGGGCCCTTCCTTGTTGGGTGTCTTAGGGGATATCTGCTAGGCTGGCATCAGCCTTTGGCATGTAATTCTTGAAAAGGAACTGTGAAATTGCCAGGCTAAGTTTTCTTTAAGAGAAAACTGTTTCACCGAAGATTACAACCCAGTACTCCTTTGGAGCTGGGAAGTGCTTATTATAATTTCCATGTGAATATAAGACTAATTATTTTTCTGTGGCCTGTGAGGTCCAAACTGGGTTGTTCTAATTATGGAAAAGGGCAAGCCAAAGAGCTAAGGGGTGAAGGTTTTCTTTTCTCTTTTTCCCACAGCTTTTTTGAGGTACACTGAAAATTTGGTGTAGTACCAAAAGCATCTGACTGCTAACCAGAAGGCTGGTGGTTCAAACCCACCAGCCACTCTTCAGAAAGAAGGTTGGGCAATCTACTTCTGTAATAATACCATCTTGGAAACCCCCGGAGGGGTTGCTATGAGTCAGATCCAACTCCATGGCAGTGAGTTTGGTTTTGGTTTTTGGTTAAGGATAATTAATTAAATAATGAAAAGCAAGCTGTCTCTTTGAAGAAGAAGGTGTGTCTGACCCAAACCATGGTATTTTCAATAGCCTCATATGCATGTGAAAGCTGGAAAACGAATAAGTAAGACTGAAGAAGAGTTGATGCTTTTGAGCTGTGGTGTTGGTGAAGAATACTGAAAGCACCATGGACTGCCAAAGAACTAACAAATCTGTCTTGACAGAAGTGCAGCTTGAATGCTCTTTGGAAGTGAGAATGACCAGACTTCATTTCACCTACTTTGGTCATGTTGCCAGAAGGGACCAGTCCCTGGAGAAGGATATCATGCTTGGTAAAATGGAGGGTCAGCATAAAAACGGAAGGCCCTCAACGAGATGGACTGACACAGCAGCTGGCATAGGACTGGGCAGTGTTTCATTCTGTCATACATAGGCTTGCTATTGTTGTTGCTGTTGTTATATGCCATTGAGTCGGACCCGACTCATAGCGATCCCTCCTTGGGTTTCTGAGGCAGTATCACTACAGAAGTAGATTGCCTCATCTTCCTTCTGAAGAGTGGCTGGTGGGTTTGAACCGCCAGCCTTCTAGTTAGCAGTCAAGTGCCTTAGGCACTATGCTACCAGAGCTCCCAGGGTTGCTATTAGTCAGAGTCAATTCGACAGCACCTAACAACAGCAACAAGGATAAAAAAGTGCAAAGCAAAGCCTCAAGCCCATGGCCTGGGTACTTATGGTAGAACTTATTCCACATGAGGGTTAAATGTCCCAAATCCAGTGTGGTGGAGAATCAACATTTATTGAGTGTGAGGGATGATAATGATGGTGAAGCTGACGGTGATGGTAATGTTGATGATTTTTATGGTCATGATGGTGATGATAATGGCAGCTAACATGTATTGGGTGACCTCCTGTGTCAGACACTAAGCTAAGAACTCCACATACATTACCTTATTTAATCCACACAATAACCCTATGAAGCAGGTACTATTTTTATCCTTATTTTTCCAATTATGAAATCTCATCAGGGTCACCTAGCCAGTAAGTGGTAGAACCAGAATCTAGACTCAGGCAGTCTTACTTAGATTTTTAAGCTGACTACTAAATGTCCTTCTCTGTGCTAGAGACTCAACATATGCCATCATAGTTAATATAATGGATAATATAAGCCCCATTGAGCAGATGAGAAACCAAAACCAGAGAAATTACAGTTCTTGCCCTAGATTTCCTGTTACTGAGTAGCTGAGCCAGAATTTGAACTCAGGTTCCAAATCCCGAGCTGATGCCACTATTCCATGCTACATCCACTTGCTATCCAGCCATGGTTTAGGGCACTGGATTGAGTGTCAACTGTGAAACAGGCTGAAGCCCATGAAATAGTTCAGCTTGTATGACTGTGTCAAGCTGAATAGGCTCATAAAGGTGAGGGCTTGATACACTGATCTGCAAATGGTGTAAGTCATCTTTGTTTTCTAGAAGAACTTCAATTTTAGGATGGGTTTTGCTGTTATCCTGATGAATGGTCCTTGTCACCTATAGTTCATTCATCAAAATTTGCAAGGCAAGGTTGAGTGTGTGAAATACAACATATGCAAGAGGTGGAAAACCTCCAGGGGAACCTTCCCAAGGAGTCTGCCCATAATCTCCAATTTTTCTCTTTCCTGGAGCGTTGACTTTACCTTTAACTCACCAGTTCCCCACATAGCTTTACAAGTATGAATTTTTAAATGGGTATTAGGTGGTTTTGTATGGCATGATGTATTACTATGTGCCGTTGTTCTGATATAAAATGTGGCAAAATATATAGTATGTTAAGTTCTTCAATCATAAAATCTATTAACAAAATGCACTTTCAAAACAGCGTATTAGCTTTCAATAACCGTCAAAATAACTTATGCATGGACTGAGAATGATTCTGGGGTAGCCTCAGAATTCCATTTATGAACAGTGAGAACTATTTACCATTTTAATGGTTCTGACCATGCCATTCAGGACTAAGAAAAAAGCTCTGTGGGTATGGCTTTGCAGTCCTACCCGTTTATGGAAAATGAGGAAAGTATCTGAAAATTGAACACATTTGTCAAGGAGTGACCTTAGAAATCATGTCTGGGTAACAAGGTGTACTTCTGTCTCCTGAGAAGGTTTGCTTCATCAGCTCCTCTTTCTTTCATCAAATCAGATGTATTGAAATTCAAGTGCCAAAAGCCACTTCTAGTAAATGTAAGTACACCTCTCACAAAGTAGCTGCTGATGGAATCTGAAGTGACTCTGTGGCAAGCCACAAATGATAGCACAGGTGCAAACAGCAGAGCCTCAGAAATGAATGCTACATGTCTTTGGGCTTTGAATTTCACTTTGGAAATGGTGAGGGGGCACCATCATTCAACTAGACAAAAAGGGCTCCATAATCATACATCTGGATCAATCTTATTTCGAGCACTGCTTGTTTTTGCTTCTTAGTCTGGCTTCTCAGTGTGTTTCATGGGTGACCTCTTTAGATCTGCTGAGTATAGGCAAATGCAGTGATATTTTGCTTAAAGGATTAAAGCATCTGGACCACGTTTCACCAATAAATTGTCAAAGTGGGCATAATATGTCCATCTTGGAATGTTGGTATTTCCACAAACATTAAGGAAGTGTTGCCCATGCCTCATGCTACCCCCCCCCACTCAGCATATGTGATTAATAAAACCACATGACCATTCCCCATTCCTTACCTTCATCCCTACCTCCCAATATATATCAAAGGTCATGCATCCATGAGGAAAAACAAGATGGAAAACAGACACCAGGCAAGGAATGATGGTACAAACATTGGGAACATAGCTCAGGCAAGGAAGGATGGTGCAAACATTGGGAATATGGCTTCAAATATGAAGAACAAGCATAAGAGAAAGCAGAGGGCTCAAGGGGGAAGGAGATAAAAAGGACAGATACCTACCCAGACCTGCGCTATCTAGCTACCGGCCTGTGGACTTATATTATCACCACTGGGCTCACCACTGGGTTCCCCACTGGGCTCACCAAATGGATCACTGTTGGATGAGGCCTGTGATCCATCAGGCTAGAACACAAGAAGATAACACTTTTTCTTTCCTTTCTTTTCAACAATTGAAAATATAAGACAGTTGGGCATATTTTCATGCAGCAGGTAGAATGACTTATGTTAAAAGGGGGAACACCTCCAGTTAGATGATGCTACACCCACAAATGCAAGAACAGGTAGTAGCAACTTAATAAAAGGATGTTATTTCAACTGACTCATTTGGACATAAAATAAAACAGCTTTAGTAACCCCTCTGGAATTTAAGAGTCTGAGTCAGCATTCTTTTCTATGTAGGTCTTTTCATGCATTGTCCATTTCAGATGCCAGAGTTTTAATGTTAAGGAAAAACAAAACTGAAATAACAAACCAGTCACTTACAGCTTCTTGCTCTTCACTTTTGCTGGGACTTTCAAATCCCTCTTCAAAGATGTCATCTGTGGTGGGATCACTGGCATGGGAGGCAGATGATTTGGATGGAGAGCTCTGTCTAGGGGCTGGGGTTGGAGCTACACAGAGACCATGTAAAAGAAAGAAGTATTTTAAATGGAAGATGAATTTGCTCTGTAAACTTCCACCCAAATCACAATAAAATTAAAAAAAAAAAAAAAAGAAGAAGTATTTTATGTGACTGGCTGTAATCACTTACATCCCATGGAAACCTCAGGGATCTGATTATATTAAAAGTCAGATCACAGGACTTCTCTTCCCAGCACAAGATAAATCAGTTGAACATCTGAATTGGTCCCATGGACATATTTATCTTGTCCTCTCACACACTTGATCATATGGATGGACCTTGTCCCACCTGATGGCTAACGTAGTCATTCTCAGGGGATGGGCTCCAGACCAGCAGCATCGGCATCTGTCTCATCTGATCACTTTTCAGAAATGTACATTCTCAGACACCACTCAAGAAATACTGAATTAGAAACTCTGTGTTTTAAGAAGCTGTCCAGATGATTCTCATGCCTGCTTAAGTTTGAGAACCATTGGGCTATGGCTTTCTTTCTCCTCTCTCACATCACACAATTATTTTAATAAGGGGACACAGATCAGAGGGCAGTGATAAATATTTGTTGGGTACCTTATAGCTGTTAGAAACTGTTAGAAATGTTGCAGACATTATCTCTAATCCTCATAAAGGGTCTTTGAGGTAGGGCTTATCCCTGTTCACAGAAGGAAAGTGAATGTTGCTAAGTTGTTCATATGGTTAGCAACTGGTAGAACTAGAACATACAGTAGATGCTCAATAAACAGTTGTTGAATGCAGGTCTTTCCCCCCTGCAATGTGGCCTTTGGGGCTGTGGTGATCTCTGAAGATGGATGAAGTTGATGTTAACTTCACAGCTAGCCCTTCACTGCTCACAGTACATGGATATGTATTTGTTGTACTGACGTTCCCACACTCTCCTAATCTCATTTGTAACAGAGATTTATAATAAATATGCCACTGGGAATTAGTCTTCTCTCAATAATTTCTAATTTGGCATTAAACACACCAGTCATTGGTTCTGCCCCATGGCTTGATTTAGTAGCCTAATTTCAAATGCCATTAATAGGGCCTCCCTGTCCTGAATCTGCAGAATTTAGAAAATCTGACCACCGATCAGACAGTGAATGATTATACAACTTGATGAGTACCTTTTTACTCCGGTGAACTTACAGATAATGACACTATTGTGCACCCCTGAGTAAAACTTTGTACCAGGCACTTCACATTCATTATGTTCTCTAATATAAACAACACTGCAACACAACATTACATGTGTGTCTGTGTGGTATAGTAAATTACTTTGTGTGGCTTTTCTACCCATAAGTCTTTGTAAACTCCAAGGTGGGATTTTCTACGAGCAACTGAGGAGCTCCTGATTGCTGAAGGTGTCCACCTGGAGTATTTCTGTTGGGAGTGGCACAAAACAATGTTCTGGGAGGTGCCC